ATAGAAATACACCATATCTGTGTTTAGTTTATTAAAGAATCATTTGTTAGAACTTTCCAGACAGCACTTTTGGAGATGGTAATCTGAGATCATGGTGTCATGGTGTCCTTGCTAATCACTTTTAATAGGATATTTAAACCCCCTTTCCAGAAAGAAAACAAGGAGCTTCCAACTTCCCATGTACTCCATCACAAATCATCCTTCCCCCGTACTGTTGCAACACATCTACCCCGTCCAACACCTCTACCCCATCCTCCAAGGCCATTGTGTTAATAGTGTAACCACTTCTCTCATTTTTCTGCAGTTTTTCCCTGTTCTTGTTAAGTGTGGTGTATTAGTCCTTTCTCATACTGCTGTAAATAAATACCCGAGACTGGATAAATCATAAAGAAAGGAGGTTTAATTGGCTTACGTTTCTGCAGCCTGTACAGGAAGTACGGTTGGGGCGGCCTCAGGAAACTTATCATGGCAGAAGGTGAAGGGAAAGCAGACACGTCTTACATAGTGGGAACAGGAAGGGTGCGTGAGGTACCACACACATTTAAACAACCAGGTCTCCTGAGAACTCTATCATAAGACAGCACTAGTGGGATGGTGCTAAACCATTAGAAACCACCTCTATGATCCAATCACCTCCCACTAGGCCTCATCTCCAACACTGAGGATTACAGTTCAGCATGAGATTTGGGTAGGGATACAGAGCCAAACCATATCATATGTCAACGTTGTTCTTGCCCTGAAAACAAGAACAAGGGCTAGCATGGTGGCTCACACCTGTAATCCCAGCACTTTGGGAGGCCAGGGCAGGTGAATCACGAGGTCAGGAGTTCAAGACCAGCCTGACCAACATGGGGAAACCCCGTCTCTACTAAAAATACAAAATTAGCCAGGCATGGTGGCGCATGCCGGTGATCCCAGGTACTCAGGAGGCTGAGGCAGGAGAATCACTTGAACCTGGGAAGTAGAGATTCCTGTGAGATGAGATCACATCACTGCATTACAGCCTAGGCAGCAGAGTGAGACTCCATCTCAAAAAAATAAAATAAAAAATAAAATAAAATAAAATAAAAAGAGCAGAATCTTCCCTTGATGCTCATTATGCATACATGTTTTTGGCTCTGTGGACCATATGGACTCTGTCACAATTACTCAACTATATGATTGCAGTGAAAACAGCTATGACAATATAAAAATGAGTGAGCATAACTTTTTTCAATAAAACTTTATTCACAGAAACAGGTGGCCCAGTGGTGGCCCTTAGATTGCTGACTCCTCCACTATAGTCTTTCTGTTAACCTACCCCTTTCTGTTTCTTCAGACAATCTTCTTAGAAAAAGTTTCTATTTCTCATGGTTTCCAGGTTCTTACCTCTGTTTCGTGCTTGAAAACTGTGCAATTTGACCTTTATGCCCAAAGTTTTCTGACAGCTTGGGGCAAGAGTGGCTTTCTGACTGAGTCAGAAGCATTATCTGTGATATTATCTTGGGAGTACAGTTCCATTTGGCTTTCCTCAGTTTAGACTTCTTACCCTGCTGATGCTCTCCTGTGTTCTGTTAAACTATCCAGCCTTGGTTCTCCTCCAGTATGTGATGTTTCTTCTCAGTGTCTTTATCTTTAAGAATGCCTTTAACTGTAAGAGATTCAAAAACTCAACAATAACCAAAATAAACAAGAATTTTTTTTCAGATTTCATACCTGACATCTGGAGTTAAGGAGTTCAAGGTTGGTGCAGGCCTTTTGCAATGTCATCACAGGTCCAGGCATTTTCCTATTTCTGCTCTGTTTTCCATATCATTTTGCCTTTTGTCCTCATGTTTGTTGCTATATAGTAACTTTAGGGTTGAAATGCCATGGACAATCCCCATGTGTCTAAGAAAAAAAAAAAAAAAGGACAAAATTAGTTCGTTTTATAAATTCTTTATTTAATGTATCAGAAAGGAAAAGTCTCCCTAAGACCCTGGCAGCCATGTCTCCTTAGGTATCGTTGGCCTGAATTACACCAGACCTGAACTTTGTCAGTTCAGTGCATGAGAGAAGCTGGGAAGGTTCATATTTCTAACCAGGTGCACTGCCTGTTTCTCCAAATTCGGTTTTCATTAGGAAGAAAGACGAGTTAATGGATATTGGCTAAACAATTAGCCTGTCTCCCATAGTGACCTGTGGAGGATATTTCTCCTCCGATGACTCAGTGTCAGTGTTCTAGGAATTTATCTTTCAACTTCTTTTTCTGTTAAACTGCAGGCATTTCCTGCGCAGTCTCATTCGCTATCTTAGCATGACACATTAGGCGCTGATGCCCAAATTCTTCTGGCTCAGATTTTAGTATCCTATATCCGTCTCCTAGGGGGTTTCACCTTCTGGTTTTCCCACATGTATTTCAAATAAAAGATAGTCTGAAGTAATGCTGTTTCTTTAACCGACTAGTTCTCATACATCTCTACCTTGATTGTAACTATAAAAACAATAATCAAGAAACTGAAACTCAGCTTCTCCTCTCACTCCTTCAACTGCTGTACTCAAACAACTGCCAAGTGCCATTTATAAAGTTTCTTAACATCCCTTGAGGCTATTAACATATTTCAATACCCACTGTCATTCTCATGACTAGGGTCTTGGTTAAAACCTGTATTATTTCTCCCTCTGTCTACTGAAGATTACATTCTCACCTGGTTATTCTGCTTCCCATTAATTCTGCTATCAGAACAATCTCTCTAAAATAGAAACCATTTTTTCTAGGTTAAAGCCCTTCAATGGCTTGTCATAATTAATATCTGGTAACTCATACAGTCCCTAAACTATCTTATTTGTCCAACGGTATTGCTGAGGACTTCTAAATCTTTCACTCACTTCAGACTCACTCTTACAGCTTTTTTGGTTTACAAAGGATATTTACCTGATATCTACCAGATATCTCATGCTTCAAGACTGAAATCATTACCTGCAAATACCCTCCAAATCTATACTTTGTCCTTCATGTTCCCTTCTTTAGAAGACGTTTTGTTAACAACTCCATTCCTCCTAGAAGTTTTGTAGTAGTCATCCCTGATTTTCCCCTCTGCTTCATCCCTAACCAGCCTCCTTTCTTCTAATCAGCCACAACATCCTATTGCTTCAATTATCTTAATGCCTCTCAAATATACTCACTCGGCTCTACCGTGGTGATTACAGCCTTACTTCAGGCTCCTGTAATCACTTATCTAAAATATGACCAGATTCTTTTAACCTTTTCCTTTTGTTCATTTAAAAAAATTATTCTAGAGGTTTTATTTTCTACAATGGAACTAAGATTATATTATTCACTTCTTCAAATAATTCAATGTCTTACCATTACCCTTCAAATGAAGCCTAAACTTATTATTGTAGTTTAGAAAGCTTTTCCAGAACTGGCCACATCTATCACAGATAATGCTGCAGGCAGCTTGTATCTGTGACTCTGTCATCACCTCCCTCTTTGTACTTATCACACTAAGGATGCTGGGAACTACCATGGCTTCCCCTGTTACCATTATCCTGGTCCTCACTGTAACTGTAATTGGCAGATTACATGTCCGAATCCTCCACTCTTTCATCACATTATGGAATTTCTGATCTCAACCATGATGTTCTTCCTATGCCTGGCTCTGTGTTTGGCAAATGGTAAGGGTCAGTGTGCCCTTCCATGCATGGATGAGTCATTGGGATGTCGCCTTTGCTCCTATCTCTCATCCCATCATCCCCCATCGCTGCACTTAACTCACTTGCATTTTCTCTTCCCTAAACAGCAGATTCAGTTTGGGTTTTGAGGTGTTCTATCAATGTATGCTAGCAGAGAATGCTAGCTTCTTCCCACAGTAAGAAAACAAGAAGAAATATCCTACCTTCTCCTCAGATGTAGAGTAAACTATGAGCTTGGATTTCCTTCCTGTATAAGTTCTATCAGCTTCAATGCATGCATAGGTATCTCCAAAAAATTAAATAAAACTGCTAAAGGTTCTTCCTAAATGCTACTTATCACTCCGTTTACCATGTCCCTAGTGCTAAACAACTATTTATAATCAGTTTTAAAAAATAGTTTTGTTCTCTCCATTCCCATTTTGGAGCTTCCTCCAGCTCCTCAAACTTTTTCATTTTGTATTTCATCCTGGCAATGCATGTAAACACCCTTTAATGTTATTAGTGGTATGTGTGTCTCTAAAGGCAACAGATACCCTTTCAGTCTCCAATTTATCAGAAGACTCATTGATATTTAACTTTCTGGACCATTCCAGATTTTATAAAATGTGACCATCATTTGACTTCAGTAACTACAATTGCATCATTTTGCTCTTGTTGCTTTGCCTCTGCTTCAGATTGATCTCTACCCTAAAATGTTGCTCCTTCACAAATCCATATTTAACTGACTGAATATGCAACATTTTCACTTAGTGATCTCAAGATACATCTCAAACTTAACATCCCCCAAACAAAATATCATAATTCTTGCCTTTACAAATGAAAAATCTGTCACTACAAGTTACTTTTCAGTTTTAGAAAATCATAAGAAATGGAATTTTAGAATATGCATTCTCTTGTGTCAGGCTTTGAAGGACACAATGTTTTGTGTTCTAGTGCAATATTTTTACAATTTGTCCACGTTGCATCAGATTTGACCTTTTTTATTGCATAGTCATAATTTTTATACAGATATACCAACTGAATACGGTTATATAAAATTCATCTATAATTATTTTGTGGACTTATGTTTATATTTTTCTTAGGGAAATGTTTAACTGGGGTTTTCTGGTCATGTGGTATGCATAAATTGAACTATGAAATGCAGAACTTTCTCCAAGCAACTATTGTTAGGGTCTGAGATTTTAACCTACTTACAAGCTAACATGTTAGTTTATTAATGCCTTATGGATGCAAGCAGAAGACACAAAACTTCTGAGTCAGAGAAACAGGAGTTTATAATCCACAGTAGAGCAACCATCATGAGCATCATGTTTGACTTGGCTTTTCTTATCGCCCACATCCCACAGGGATGACACAGAGGGCCCAGATGGATGACTGAAGATTACAGGAGAGGAACAGTGATCTTGGGGAGCTCTTCATTTTAGGGTAACGGTGAGTAAGCCTAAATTTTGTCTTGGATAAAAACATTTCCTCATCCCTCAAAGTGGCTCATTGCAATCACAACCCTGAGAAATGGCCCAGGTTAAAAAATAATAAAAAGTGGGAGGTTTGATACTAGATACTTTTCTAGATATTTTGAAGTATCTTAGAAAATGTATGGTGTTAGGAGAGACCCATGGAGGACTATTTCACAACAGCTGAGTAATTTTACATTCCCATTAGCAAAGAAAGGAAAATTATTTAATTTCGATAATTCTAGTAGGTGTATATTAACTTGAATTTCCTTGAAGAATAATGATACTGAATATCTTTCCTTTTCTTGCTTATTGAGCATTCATATGTCTCCTTTTGCAATGTGTATGTTCAAGAATTGTTTTTTTTTATTGGGTTACATCTTCTTATTTTTCAGTTTTAAGGGTTCTTTGCATATTATTAATATACATTTTTTCAGATATGTGCACTGCAGATCTTTTTCTCTCACTCTGTGGCTTACATTTTCATGGTCTTAGAGGAACCTTCTGAAGAATAAAATCTTAGCTTGGTGAAATGTAATTTTTTTATTTTTTAACACTTGGTGCTTTTGTATTCTAAGACATGTTTCCCCACCCCTACAAGTCTAAAATTTTTATCTTATGCTTTCTTTTACAAGTTCTATAGTATTAATTGTGATTTTTTTTGTCTAATTTTGAGTTATTTTTGTGTATGGTGTGAGGTGGTATTCAGGTTTACTTTTTCCAGGTGAAATGCACTTGTTCTACCAACATTTATTTAAAAGGCTGTCCTATTCCTGTTCATTTCTGATTGAATTATGTTTGTCCTTTCTCTCACTGAATTCTGACGTTTCTCAAAAATCAAATAATAACATTTACATATTTCCAGTTTGGGGCTCTCTATAATGTTCTTTCTTTATGCCAATATCACACTGTCTTGAATGCTGAACATTTAAATTAAGTACTCTAGCTGGAAGTATTTGATGGGTTCCAATCCATTACACTTATTATTATTACTATTATGATTACAATAATTACTATTAATGGTTGTTTACAGCAGGTAGGCTAGTCCTGTAGCAGCCATTTTGCCATAACTAATAGTGTGATATTCTGGTTACTTACAATTTGATATTTTTCTTCCTTTAGTAAATTGAAGGTTTCCAGAAATTCCTTACTATTTCTCCCGTTGAAATAGGGAAGCAAATTCACCTCATCTTGAATATGGGCTCATTTTATTGACTGCTTGTTCAACAGAAGGTGGGACAAAAAAGGAAAAAAAAAAAAAAACCATTATGTTCGTGGACTTCCAAGACTAGGTCATACGAATCCTTGAAGCTTCTTTCCAGCTCTCTTGGAACACTCTCTCAGTGAGACCCGAGGTGCCATGTAAGTCTAACAACTACCCCACTGCAGTACTGGGGAAGACACATGGAGGTGTTCTGATGGACAGCTCCTGCCTAGCCCAGAATTCCAGATTCCCTGCCAAGATGCTATGAAAGTGAGAATAGTCCTCTTGGATCTTCCAGACCAGTTCTTCTGTCTGCTAAGTGTTAGTGTGACTTCTAGAAATGCCATGTTGAAAGTAAGGAAAACTCCACGGGTAAACACACTTCTGCTAATAAGTAGGATACCAGAACTGCTGTTGGCAGCTGTCAGGTGAAAGTGGTTCTCATGTGTCAGATTCTAGTGGAAGTTTTTAGTGTCTCTTTTCCTTAAGGGCTTAGTATGTTTCTCTACTGCTCCCAGCAGAGGTTCTCAGCTTACTCCAAAGAACACTGACTTTGATATCATGCCGATCAGGGTTCGAATTCACACACTTCCATTTACAATCTGTATAACATTAAATCCTGTTCTAACGTTTCTGTCATTCAGCTTTGTCATCTCTCTACACAGAAAAGTACTCACCCATGGTCATCCCACCTCTGCTGCCTAAACACTATATTAATGTTACGTGGCTTCCCCAAAGATAGTATCACCTTCCTCAGGATGCATTGTGAAAATTCAATGTGACCATCTATGTAAAAAATTTGATGTTAGGCACACAGGATTTGGTTGATAAATGTTAGGTTTATTCACATGAGGACTTGATGAAAAAAAGGTAAAAGCATGTATCTATCACAAAAAAGGGTCAAATAAATGCCAGTTTCCTTCATTCTTTTAGGGCACTTCAAAAATATGGAAAACTAGTTACTGCACAGCCTCAAGAAGCTCAAGTTACTAATAAAAATGATCCTAATTATGGCTTGAGTTGTAGTTGTTTTACAAAATGTAAAAATTATTGAGATAATAATTAGTTTTTTCCTAAACAATTTTACTTGTAGAGATTTTAAATTCTGTCATAAAAACACCCATAAGTCTCTCAACTGCAAAGAATTTAGCATCACCTTGTTTTTTTCCAGATTTGAAAAAAGCAGTAATCTGACTACAGAATAAACCATGGGCGGTATAGTACAAAAAATGCTATTATATTTTTAAACGTTGTGCAGTCCATTGATCAGACAGGCAGAGGTGGGGAGGACAAAGCCAAACACTGAATACACATTTTGCTACAAAGAACCTTGTCTAAACAGTTTCATTTAGAAATGCACATTTATTTGACTGTATTTGCAAATCATCATTTTTTCTCTAAAAATAATACGGAGTGTGGAAATGCTTTCCTATGTAGGAAGATTTTTTATTTATTTTGCTGAGTTTCAGGAAATGAAGCTTAGCTGCTACCTCGCATAGAAACACCAAACTATAGAATGCACAAAATTAGCACAGAGTCTGCCATGTATAGCAATTTCGATACTGCTACCTACACTTCACATTTACTGCATCCATCCAATTACACCCATGTTGTGGATGCACAGCACTTAGAGCAGGCTGGCAGTTCACAAGAGTGCAACGGATGTCACACAGTCTGCATATCAGTCAGTCTGCTTCCTGACACGCTTTAAGAAAGCCTGTTCCTTACATTTTGGCATGTTTTTGCAATGGCTGGTACCAGTTGTTCCTTTCCATGTTTAGTGCCTCCTTCAGGGTCTCTTGTAAGGCAGGCCTAGTGGTGACAAAATCTCTAAGCATTTGCTTATCTGTAAAGGATTTTATTTCTCCTTCACTTATGAAACTTAGTTTGGCTGGATATGAAATTCTGGGTTGAAAATTCTTTTCTTTAAGAATGTTGAATATTGGCCCCCACTCTCTTCTGGCTTGGAGAGTTTCTGCCGAGAGATCTGCTGTTATTCTGATGGGCTTCCCTTTGTGGGTAACCCGACCTTTCTCTCTGGCTGCCCTTAACAGTTTTTCCTTCATTTCAACTTTGGTGAATCTGACAATTATGTGTCTTGTAGTTGCTCTTCTCGATGAGTATCTTTGTGGCGTTCTCTGTATTTCCTGAATTTGAATGTTGGCCTGCCTTACTAGGTTGGGGAAGTTCTCCTGGATGATATCCTGAAGAGTGTTTTCCAACTTGGTTCCATTTTCACCATCACTTTCAGGCACCCCAATCAGATGTAGATTTGGTCTTTTCACATAATCTCATACTTCATCAATGCTAGGAAGAAACTGCATCAACTAACGAGCAAAATAACCATTTAATATCATCATGACAGGATCAAGTTCACACATAACAATATTAACCTTAAATGTAAATGGACTAAATGGTCCAATTAAAAGACACAAACTATCAAACCGGATAAAGAGTCAAGACCCATCTGTTTACTGTATTCAGGAGACCCATCTCACATGCAGAGACACACATAGGCTCAAACTAAAGGGATGGAGGAAGATCTACCAAGCAAATGGAGAACCAAAAAAAGCAGGGGTTGCAATCCTAGTCTCTGATAAAACAGACTTTAAACCATCAAAATCAAAAGAGACAAAGAAGGCCATTACATAATGGTAAAGGGATCAGTTCAACAGGAAGAGCTAACTATCCTAAATACATATGCACCCAATACAGGAGCACTCAGATTCATAGAGCAAGTCCTTAGAGACTTACAAAGAGACTTAGACTCCCATACCATAATAATGGGAGACTTCACACCCCACTGTCAACATTAGACAGATCAACGAGACAGAAAGTTAACAAGGATATCCAGGAATTGAACTCATCTCTGCACGAAGCAGACCTAATAGACATCTACAGAACTCTCCACCCCAAATCAACAGAATATACATTCTACTCAGCACCACATCACACTTATTCCAAAATTGACCACATAGTTGGAAGTAAAGCACTCCTCAGCAAATGTACAAGAACAGAAATTATAACAAACTGTCTCTCAGACCACAGTGCAATCAAACTAGAACTCAGGACTAAGAAACTCAATCAAAACCGCTCAACTACATGGAAACTGTACAACCTGCTCCTGAATGACTACTGGGTACATAATGAAATGAAGGCAGAAATAAAGATGTTCTTTGAAACCACTGAGAACAAAGACACAACATACCAGAATCTCTGGGACACATTTAAAGCAGTGTGTAGCAGGAAATTTATAGCACTAAATGCCCACAAGAGAAAGCTGGAAAGATCTGAAATTGACACTCTAACCTCACAATTAAAAGAACTAGAGAAGCAAGAGCAAACACATTCAAAAGCTAGCAGAAGGCAAGAAATAACTAAGATCAGAGCAGAACTGAAGGAGATAGAGACACAAAAAACCCTCCAAAAAATCAATGAATCCAGGAGTTGGTTTTTTTAAAAGATCAACAAAATTGATAGACCACTAGCAAGACAAATAAAGAAGAAAAGAGAGAAGAATCAAATAGACGCAATAAAAAATGATAAAGGGGATATCACCACCGACCCCACAGAAATACAAACTACCATCAGAGAATACTATAAACACCTCTATGCAAATAAACTAGAAAATCTAGAAGAAATGGATAATTTCGTGGACACTTACACTCTCCCACGTCTAAACCAGGAAGAAGTTGAATCCCTGAATAGACCAATAGCAGGCTCTGAAATTGAGGCAATAATTAATAGCCTACCAACCAAAAAAAAGTCCAGGA